TCTAAAATATTATACGGATCTTTCTTAATTTGATGTGTTTGGAGTACGGGTATTAAAATTTTTGCACAAAATGTTCTTGAAAAAAATTAGTTTGAAAAGTTACATTTTCCCCTGTAAAATTTTACAAACTGGGCTTAGCAACTTTTCACTCTAGCCTAGCGATATATGTATGTATGCAAGGCGAATTTATATAAGGTGGTGTTACTAGCTCAGCTGATTTTGTGTATGCGTTTCGCCGCACGGCTTCTGATATCAAATTGAAAAATTTTGTTTTAATTTCTACACACACTTTTACAGATTTTGACAGTTTTTGCCGCCAAAGCAAAAACAAAATACATACATGTAAATTTATGTTTTTGTACTCCTGCTATCACCTTATATTAATTCGCCTTGGATATATGTGTATCTTGAAATAATTTAGTAAAGAAACACACTTACAAATACCTAAAACAAATCAGCTGCAATTTGTCAACGAAAAAGGAAGATGGAGAACGGAAAAGACAAAGAGAAACGGAAACGGTGTGGATGCGCCATGGGTGGGCCATGGGTCAGCTATATTTTGAAGGCAATCAAAAAAACCTTTAATTAATAGTAATAATATTTTGGCGCTTACACTTTTGCTTAGTGTTTGACCCAGCTTCTCCTCCAATTTATGTAGGTATGTTGTGCGTTCTAATCTTATGCACAACACAAATGTAGGGCAAATAGTTTTAATGAGAAGCTTTTTTTTTTGCAAAAATGCATTTGGAGATTTGTCATTGCCTACCGAGGGGCTAGCGCTGTTAGAAAAAAAAATCTAACTAAGATGTTAAGGTCTTACTGAGTGGTAGTACGCACATCTATTCACACAGCAAAATAAAATTTTGTAAGTTTAGTAAATGAGGGAATTGATAAATTAGATAAAGGTCGATGCATATACATACATACAAACACAACGTTCTAAAGCATATATGTACTTACACTGTACTAAACTGAAGTAAATTAACACACTTTTTTTATTTATACATGTATATTACACATAATATTTTTACTGTAACAAAATATGTACATATGTATGTATGTCCAAGCGCATAATAATTTGTATGCATATTTTTCTATTTTCTAGGTGCTGCCATCAAATGTTACGTATGCAATAGCCATAAGGATGCAAATTGTGCACTGGACATACCACCAGACCATTTGCTCAAGGACTGCCAGGAGGATTACTCAACACGCGGCAGAGGCATACCGACTTACTGCCGCAAGATCTCGCAAATCATTGAATTCTCTGTAAATAATCGTAAGTATTGGCGTTTTTTTTTTTCAGTAAGCATATCGTAATATTGGAATCTAATATTTCCCTCTCATTGCAGTGCCACCGGACAGCCGTATTATACGTTCATGCGGCTTTCTCAATCAGACATCGACTAATTACTGCTACCAGCGCGCCGGTTTCGGTGGCCGTCAAATAGTTTGCTCTTGTGACAAGGATAATTGCAATGGCGCTGGTGCGATCAGCGTGTCTATTGGAGCGTTGTTAACTGCTGGCGCTGCTAGCGTTTGGGGTTTGCTTTCCCTGCTAAGACGTTCATTGGTTTAATTGCCAACACTTATTTTGAGAAACATTTTACAGAACCTCACAAAATACATAATAGTTTGGCTTTGTTTTTAATTTTGTACATTTTCCTATAGCAGAAAATAGTATGCTAAATCATTGTTGTTGGTTTTTCTTTTTGTTGTTGTTGTAAATGCACACTCGTGTAAAATCTGCAAGTGCAAACGAATAAGTACTTGATTTGCTTACGCTGCATAATTCCTCCAGAAAGATTTAAATATGCGAGACCTATTAAGTTTATATGCATTGTTTTTACATACATATGTATGAATATTTTTTTAATATTGCTTCATTTTTTTAAGCAAACACATGGAGATGTAGTAGATTTTTAAATCTTTTATTTTATCACAAGTAAATTACTTTCAAACACATACGCACATAAACACAGTTGAAGCTAAACACGAAGCAGGAGCTGGCGTCATATAGAATTTAGTCAAACAAAAACCTCATCTGATGAAGTTGGTTTAAAAGTAAGCATTTTTAAAAAGCACTTGCGATGAAAGAATTTTAATAAAATTAACATTGAAATCTTTGCAGTTAAAACGCCCAGTTTCATCGATGGAGATATAAAATTTAAGAAGACTCCTAGGAAATAAACAACATAACAATAATTGTTAAAAATAACATGAAAAAAATTAAATAATAAAATTCAGTAGCACTTCAGATTTTGCACAGTTAGTAAAAGTGGAAATTAAAGAAAAAGATGCAAATTTTTGCATAAAAAGCTTTAATGTAGCAAATTTTATTTATAAACATTTTGTAAAACAACAAATTACCCAACTAACACAATACACCTGTCCAGCGCAAAGCTTGTTCCCAATGCTAACGGCTTGAGGTTGTAAAATTCGAATCAATTTTTAACTTTTTACTGCAACTTACCCACTATATTTTATTTTATTTTATTTTTTATTTTTCTTTTGAAATACAAATTTCGCTAATATAACATGTAAAGACACATAGGTATAAACATGTGTGCACTATGACAGACATAAATAGAAGATGAAAACTTTTAACAAGCCCACTTTAAATGACCACATACAAAAAATATATAACCAACTGTAAATCCACCAAAGCCGTATTGTATTATTGTAGAAAAATTTTGAAAAAATTTAAAACTGCAAACTTTTGCAAATAATTGTTAGAAACTTATAACAACGGACGAGCAAAGTGCATTTGGTGCCAAGTGATGACTTTTTCTATAAAGTCGTACATGTAACTAATATTAAACTCACTTGAATTGTAATAATTTTTTTCGTTTTTGCTTTATGAAAGAAGCAAAAGCAAACAGCTGAAACCAAAAATTAGTTATAGTTTGCTACACAAGAAAGTCGCTGAAATGGAGGCATTTCAGTTTAAATTGAAAATGTTTCACATTTGATTTTCACGTGTGATCTTTCTTAATATTAAGCGATTATAAAAGTAATTAAAATTATAAAAAATTGAATTGAAATATAAAATAAATCAAAAATGAATAAAGAAAAAAATGTGTTTTATATTATTTGGTAGTAGGGTGAGAGAGAAGGCATAATATAGTACATTATTCACTAGTTAAAATTATATCACTATTACAACCGAAAATTTGTTCCATTTAAGAAATTTTAAATTGAAGTGGAAATAAAATAAATTATGCTGAGCTAGTTTCACGAAAGTAATTATAATTATATATTTTAATTTCGTTTTTTTTTTATAAAAACTGGCAGAAGAAAAACAATAATTTGTCATTAAATTGCCCGACGAAAGCGGTAGTTAGGTAGTCGTTTTTCGACAAATTGTTTTATTGTTGGTAACAGCATAAAGTAACCAGACACATTTTCAGGTGACTCTTAATCACTACGGCCATGTATGTATGTACATATCGCTATTAAGCAAAAAACAAAACCTCTGCTCCCTGTAAGACCAAAAACGATGACAATGAATCTGTGTGGTTTAAAAACGGCGAACCTACTGTTAAATTCAAAAGTTATAATGAAGTTGAAATCCTGGGATCGCGGGATTAGAATTTTTTGCATCCCGAAATCCCGGTATTGTTAAAATGCTTCGGGATTGAATGCACCAGCCTCAAAGTATGCCGCTACAACAAATATGGCACTACAAAATAGAATTTAAAATTTGTATGCAATCTACAGCAGATAAATTCTAATTTTTGTGGCAGTTTTTGAGGTGCAATACAAATCTCAATAATAAGGGTTTGAGTTTTGTGACATTGTTAGAGTAGTTAGAATAGTGGGGTTAGTGGTAGACTCGCTACAGTTTGAATATTGAAATTTCTATATGTACTCCCTAGTACTATAAAGCAAGCCTCCATATAAAATCTAGATTTTATATATTGAAAGGAGTAGTTAATTTAGTTTTGATATTTAAATTATATTGTCATTCTTGTTTAAAATTCATACATTAATCTGTAGTAATAAAAAAATTATTCAGTGCATACCAACTTATTCACTCATTATTGTTAAATGTACAAAATGGTATATGCTATTCCATCTTACTTTTTTTCTGTTTAATAAAATGCTTAATAAAATTATGGAATAAAAGTTAATGAAAGGCGCAAAAGTATAGTATAAAAGATAAACTACAACAAATGATCAATGGCGCCAGCATTTCACATCCAATATTTACGTCTTGCTCCGGATCGGATAACCAAGATTAATTTGTATTTACGCATCATCCTCCTCGTTATCGGTGACTGGTTCCATGACAGCGTCCGGTTCGCTGCCGTGTCTAACTCGTTTCAGTGCGACATAGCACTTTTTATTGGCTATGTCATGATAGCCCACTGGGCCCATCTCACAGTCTGCGCATATTAAAAACTTATGATTTTCCACTGTATTTGAAAAACCGATATTCTCGAATGTAAATATATCATCGACAAGCCAAAAGTTATTCAGCATTTCTGTTTCAATAATTTCTGCATCCTTGCGATGTTTCTGCTGCATCAGCGGCAATTCGAACTGCAAAGATGTTTCTCCATAAAAAAGGCGTCTCCTCTTACATCAAATGCGCTTACCTCATGCTCGACATACTGCCCAAGTTGTGGTTTAAGTATTAATGAGTAACAAAAGTTACATCGTACACTATGTTTATTTTTATTGTTCAATATCTGCTCAGGAATTTGTGCTTCATCCGTCATTATAGTTCCGTTTTTTATCTGGCCAAATTTGTGCGACGCAACTTCTTAGAAAAGCAATAAATTATCAGCTGTTAATTACAGTCGGCAAATGGAGTGGGGATGTCGAAAAAACATCAATGTATCGAAAATATCGATGTTTTGCTTCGATGCAGCGAAATTTTTCTAATCGATGCATAAATGGTCGATTTATATATGCTGGAGAACTTCTATTCATACAAATGTTATGACACGACAGTCGCGTCTACGTAACCGAAACAAGTAAATTTCAGAGCGCGTTTGACATCTGCCTAAGAATAAAAACAAACAAAGAAAACGAAAAAGGCTATGTGATTTAGTGCGACTATATTGGTATTTAATATAAAATATAATTAGTGAAACTTCATGACAATTAGCAAAAAGTGTTCATAAAATATGATTTCATGATTGAAAGTATTTACAACCGCATATCATCAGCACGGGCCGATTTTTCAATGCCAACGTTCTGACCACAAATATGCACCCACTTTTCACGCAAATTTAGGCCTTTTGGCAGACCAAACAAACGTACAAACTTGTTCCAATCACAAAGCACTTCATTTTATATCATAAATTGGTACTAAATCAAAATTAAAATCATCAAATTTCTATAAAAAAAGCCACCCCGAAGCGATAGAAGGCGAAGTAAACAAAACGAAAAACATCTTAAACGCTACTGATGGTTTTAGAACTCTCGCTGCCAATATCTATGCATCGAAGCGATGAAAAACATCGATATATTTTAGTCTCTGACATCTCTAAGACAGAGCAGTACAAGGAAAAGAAGAACCGAAATTACCAATCGACTTTAGAAAGCGAGAGTAACCGGTAACTAAAGAGTCTTTTATTTTTAACTTTTAGGGAATATTATAGAAAAAGTTAGCATTAAACCACTTTATTTGCATTCAGGGGTTTAATATTTTTTATACATCTATAGCACAATTTTAATAAACACATTTTTATTTGAGTGTAATTAATTGCAAATGTGCCATAATATAAACAGCGATTACTAGAAATGAAACACTGTGCGGTATATGTCAGCGGTGTCGATAAACAAATATGGTTACTGTGAAATAGTTTGTTTACCTATTGCGGTCATAATTTAATAAAAAAATATAAATTAGAACTAAAATCCTAATATATGTGCGTAAGTTCATAAAGTGATTTATTTCGTATAATCTCTTTACAACTTTTAAAACAAATTTTAGGTGCAACAAAATGACTGCAGAAACCATTGAACCTGTCGACTCGGGCATTAGTAATGAGTACTCCACGGATGCAGCCACCCACAGTACATTCACAAATGCCGCTGCTGAAACTCGTTCGCATGAACAACAGGGAGAAATAGAAGATATTTTCACTTTTCTTAGCTTAAATAAGCAGATTGTATTCAAATCGCAACAAATAGATGACCCAGAATTGAGACAGGATGAAAAAGTCGAAATCGCGCGGGATATTTACGTGAAAAGTCCACAAACGTTTTTAATGCGTTTTGGAAGTTATTTGAAGGAGCACCATCTCACATCATTTGCACAAATAGCCATCACAAATGAAGAGCACAGTGATGAAATGGAGTTACTACTTGCAGACTATCGTAACAAGTTGCACACACGAAAACGTGATGTGAAAAATCGACGTTATGCGGCTATGCAACAACTGATTGCGGATGGTGAGTATTTCAGTGAACAGGAAATGATGAAACGAGCGCCTGAATTGTATCAGGAGTTGGTAGGACAATATTTGAGTGAGGCGGAAAAGAAGCGAAGAGACGGGTACGATGTTAAAAATACTACCTTCTCCGGCATATTAATGCATACGATGGAACAAAAGCAACTTCAAGACGTGCTAAAGTTGGCGGATAAACAAAATGTGAAGAGTATGCAACTTGCACGTGAACTTGAAGGAGAAGATAGTGTCGAAGATGATACAACGCAAAGCACAAAGTGTAGTGCGGACGAAGAAGAAATAGAGGAGAAAGAAAGAGCGCCAACGGAAGATGATGTTCCTGCTAGTTTCCGCCAACAATGGGGCAATTTCGATAATGAACAAGTCGCCTGCTCCGCCAGTCCTCAAACAGAAATAAAATCTAAACAAAAAACAAAGCAGAAACAATTGGCAAGTTTGATTAAGAAACAGAATTGTGATAACTTCATAACAGCAGGTGAACGGGAACTACTGCGACAAGAATTCATTGGGATTATGCATGAACAGTTTCTTAGTGGTGGAGATGAGGACTTTGATTACACACAGGTCGATGACAACACGCAACTAGATGATTTGAGTCAAATAAATCAGGATAAAGAAGATGCATATTTTGAGGAGAGTGACAACTCGTTTGAAGAAGAGGGTATAATAAAAAGGGAATCTGAGGAACATATCGATGATGAAGAGTCCGAGGACGAACTTGATGTTTTTATGAACCATTTGAATAGACATCACAGCTTACAGCGCCAGTAGCTTTTAAAGTAATATTTACTACAAAACTAATTATTCAGACTTGTAAATGCAATCTTCAATAATAATCTTGAATAAATTAACATAAACCACACTGTACAACATACAGTTGATCACTATAAATCGTTTATTTTAGTTAAATAACACACTGTACGCTTATTCGTTCATGTTCCAAAAGACTAACACGTTCAAAATTTCGCAGGTTTAGTAATTAAAAAAAAAGGTCTCGCTAATAGAGAGTAGCTACTCATATTCGCAAGGAATATAGTCATTCCGCATTTATCGTGGTCGACCACGACCGCGCGGAAAACCTCGTCCACGGCCACGTAATGCTTTACTATTAGCAGGAGGACTTTTCGGGCGCAACGATTCAATGCGACTGGTACAACCTGTTGCGGGTGCTTCCGCAAAATAAGTTTGATACAATTCGGAATTGAAATTTGAGTTAGTCAACTCCGGTCCAACTGTTAACCATCCTGGTCGTATGCTGGAATCACGTCCAAATAGATGCATGCGTCTGCGTCCCAAGCAAAAATGTTCAATTATGTGAAATATTTCAATCGGTTTCTCAAAACTGCCAAATTCATCCTCCTCCGAGATAATTAGATCGATATCAACATTGGCGTGTATAAAGTCACCGTCAGTCGAACGACGCACGGTTCCCTTAATGCCCATTAAGCAATGCTCTTTCGTGCGTTGAAACACTGCTTTCGGCTCGAGTTGCTTTGAGTGGCCAGGTTTATTGATATTTGTGCGTATCCAACAAATATCTTCACAGCGACGGAAGCCCCATTTCTTTAGGCAATTGCGGCCCATATCCAAACCTTCGGAGGAACCACACCAAAGAAACACAAATGAGCGATGCGCAGCCACTTCACCTACATCTAAATCTATGGAATTAAATAGTTTAATTACGTACTAAATTATGAAAATGGTTCAAGTTACTTAATATTTCTTCCCAGTTCCAAAATACGCGAGGTGCCCCACCTACAGTCGCAACCGATGGCGCTGCTCTAGCATATTCTTCCAAAGGTGGCTCAATTAATATAACATCAAACTTAGTGCCTAAAGTTTTCAAATCCAGTGTTTTGAGGTCGGCTTTCAAGTACATTGGCGCTGATGCGGTATCCTGTATTAATTTGTCCTTCAAGCGTATTAGTTCGCGTAATTTCGGATACTCTTCAAAACGGTCAGCTAATCCAACGTCTCTTATGAAATTTTGTGGTCGTTGTCCAGTATCGACAAAGTGTTGGCAATAATCATTATGCGGATTTGAAGATTGTGTACCCTGCAATATAAGTTCGCAATTAAGCCGTACAAGAATGTCTTACATGGACCTCTATCACCTTTAGAAAAGTGGAAGAGTCCCGATAGATAATTTCACCGGGCGTCTTTTTACCACCACTGCCTCCTTCATCATCTCGATTATTTACGCCAACAATGCTTCGCTGGCCGCCAAAACCGGAATAACTACCTCCAACACTATTACTCAACTCGTCAGCTGTGCCAAGCACAATTTTCAGCTCATCCACGCTAGAGAGTCCAAGCTAGAAACAAAAAAGTTTATTATGCCCAAACGCGAAAGCTTATAAAGTGCATACTGTTTGAGCCAACAATTGCTTCCGTTTACGCGAACGCTCTTGTGAAATTTTTAATATATCACTCATAATCAGGCAGTTTCTGCAAACTTAGATAATAAATATTTTAATTAAATTGTAAAAATTATGATTTAAACAAAATACAATCAGATTATGCACCGGCTACACAACGCTCCCTTGAAACGGTTTCATTCACAATTGATGACATTATAAAATGTGACTATCTACAATAGCTTTGACTTGTAAAGCCCCCATTACTAAATTTTTGCACAAATCGCAAAACAAACTAAACCAGTTGTTAAGGACACAGGAATATTAAAATGTTTTTTTTTTTAACCGAAAATACAAAAATTGGTGCCCGGCGTATGAAAGAACATAAACAGCAGACAAAAGTACCGGAAAACCCGACAACCCTAACGGCTTTGTCCCTGTGGACCGACCCTGTAGAGGCTGCACGCTTTCTAGGGCTGCCGTTAGTGGAACTTGACGACAACGACTGAGATATCAACCGATCTGGGCGGGGTTGTTGTAGCCGCTACAACAACAACAACAACTACCGGTTATATAGACCCCCTCCCAGCTGACGCCCCTGTCCTTATGGACAGACCCTGTTGAAGTAGCACACTTCCTGAGTCCTATGGTCTGATTAGGGCATCTTAACATAACTAAAAGGCTCTCACTTAAACATTCTTAAATGGATGTTGCTTATAATTGAACAGCCGAAACTTAACGTAACTTAATGCCACGTCGAATCTGTTCCATTTTGATTTTCTAAGTTCTACGTTCCGTTAAGTTAAGTTAAGTTGCCATTATCAGGCTTTTAGCTGAAACGTACGACAACGGATCAACTGACCCGAGCGGGGCTTAGTAGCCGCTACAACAACAACAACAACTGGTTATATAAGATGGCTGCATACCAACCAAGGCGTATTTAACAAGGTGGTGTTGGCCGTATATAAGTAAAAAATTACACTAACAAATTATACGCTGATGTCCATACTGTCATTGGTATGAGTTACAACAAACACATCATTTTGATGTAATGGCCTCCACGGCGAAAAACTCAGCTGTCGCCCCAACACCACCTTGTTTAATACACCTTGATACCAACCTTTTACAGGAAAAATGCTGTTTTTGTTCCCGTACTTTTTGTTGTTACTCACTTTTTACTCTCACTTCAGAGAGTAATTTTGCTGTTTGACATTTTAACAGGATTTTACATGAAAAGTATTGGATCAGAGCTTTTATAAACTTTTTTTTTTTACTAGTTCACAATAGTTCTACCAATGACATTTGACTAGTTTTGGCACGTTTTTGACGTTTATTAATTCATTTTTGTGTTATCTTCCGTTTGGGTGTAATTTAACAAATATTCTAAAATTATTAAATATTCTGTGATTAATTAATAAATTCAAACCTATTAGGCATTTAAAATGAATTTACTCATAAGAACGGTGTTGCTGGCGCTGCTGGTGCTAGCAGGATTTCTGGTGTTCACCGCTGCACAGAGTAAACAAAAGGTAACCGATATACAGGGTGATTACCCTGAGCGCTATGGCCACGTCATGGACCGCAAGCAGGTTGATCGACGAAAATCTTAATCATTTATATGTTTCTTTTACTATATCTTACCTAGACGGGTCTCTCATTATCAGAGAAGGTGCGCAACCTGCAAGATATGAATATGAAGAAAGCGCTGCTGCGTTTCAATGGACAGAAATTTCGTGAATATGTGCAGAATACGCCTCGAAACTACTCTGTTGTGGTCATGTTGACAGCGTTAGCTCCTTCGAGGCAATGCCAAATATGCCGTCATGCCCATGATGAATTTACAATTGTAGCCAATTCTTATCGCTACTCACCGACTTACTCAAATAAATTATTCTTTGCGATGGTTGACTTTGATGAGGGCTCCGATGTATTCCAAACGCTGCGTATTAATACAGCGCCTGTTTTTATGCATTTCCCTGCCAAGGGTAAACCCAAAGGTCCTGATACCATGGATATCCATCGTGTAGGATTTGCCGCTGAAGTGATTTCGAAATTTGTTCATGAACGCACCGATATACAAATACGTATTTTCCGACCACCGAACTACTCTGGTACCGTAGCAATGCTAACGTTAGCTGCTCTAGTCGGCGGCTTCCTCTACATACGTCGCAACAACTTAGAGTTCCTATATAACAAACAAATTTGGGGCGCTTTGGCGTTATTCTTTTGCTTCGCCATGATTTCAGGGCAAATGTGGAATCACATACGTGGTCCACCATTGGTTCATAAGAGCAAAAACGGGGGTGTTGCATATATACACGGGTCATCTCAAGGACAACTAGTGGTGGAAACTTACATCATTATGTTCTTAAGTAAGAAATTGCACTGATTTTAGTTATGTTTTGATAATCTCAAAAGCTACATTATATTACAGATGCTATGATTGTCCTGGGAATGGTTCTGCTTATAGAATCTGGTTCACAAAACGATAATAAAAGAGCGCGCATAATGGCCATAGCTGGTCTATTGCTGGTTGTTGTGTTCTTTTCCTTCCTGTTATCGGTGTTTCGATCAAAGGCGCAAGGTTATCCTTACAGGTAAGAGTATGAATATAACTTAAAACTATTTAAAATTCATATTTTTATGTTTTCATTTCAGTTTCCTTTTCAAATAAACGATTCGATGAGCTTCAGCCATTTTTTATCTGAAATCGTTGCATTCGAAATCATTCTTAGTCGATTTTTTCTGTGAACATTAAAAAAAATGCAGAAGGATTTTAGTAGAGTTTAAATAAAACTGTATTAAGACATATTCCTCAGCTTTTATTTTCTAGTTGGACAAGCGTTAATGGTTGTACATCACGACATGAACTCGTCTTTGAACCGACGACTATACCAAAGGAATGTAATATAACTATCTTTAAAAATTTTAATTAAAATATGTATGTAAGTATCAAAAATATTCTAAGTTCAATAATGATTACAAAATGAAGGGTATAAGCGCCTTTCGTGTTTTCGGATAATTTTTAAAATTTTCCTTGTACCATTTGTGCGTGAGCAATGCATTCATCAACTGTAAAGTAAAAATACAAAATAATACAACTTGTTAGGAAAAATGTACGACGTTTACCTGATTGGAAAATACCCATATGAATATTAAGAGCCATGTAGTACTATTTAGCATCAATCCCAACACCGCCACATACATGACGATTTCAAAAAACATATGCGGCGAGGAAATCATATTGAAGAATCCACCTGTCGGAAGTAAATGCTGTTCAGTTTTTATTTCACCACTTTTAGCATCTTTACGCAAGTTAACAAGTATCATATTTGACTTGTACTGTTGTGTCCAACTAAAGTGAAAAATAAATATGCAAAGATATTGTACAAGTGAAATTTGCTTCAAAGAGAAAGGCGAGGGCTGAGTTCCTGTAAAAAAGTAATTATATAAATCAATAGTTATTTGGAGTAGTATGGAAATTCAAGCGCACCTACCTCTTACAAAGCCTTGCGTATTCGCTAATAACGCCAATATTGCACCAAAATAGTGTATGTATCCAACTAAATAATGACTCCAATTAATTCTACTATTTTTCGAGAATATTTGTACGAAATTTGTCTCATAAAATCGCCTTCCACATTGCATAGTCATGAGCACTGTAGCTACCAAAGCGCAAGTGGAATCAACTTGCACACTTCTATTCGCTTGGCCACCAGCCATAAAATCCAAAAATGTCAACACCATTTCTGGCGCTTCTGCTTTCGCAATGAATCCTTTCAGCACGAGAACAAGTGCCAACAGTGACCAGGAGAAAGCGAAAATGTAGAAATGTTTAAACCAACTCTTTGGTATTTCCGTAAGACTAATTAATGCATTTGTAGTGCCTTTATGGCAATGCTTGCCATACCGGAATGACTGCCGTAAGGAGTTGGGCAGCAAAGACTCTACAAGATTAACGAGGCTACCGAAGACTATTATCACTGCAGTAAAACCGATAAATATAAAGTTCAATAAATTGAAATTATATTCTTCTATAAACTGGTTTAAGCTATTATAAGCCAATGTTAACATTTTTTTATAATTATAATGGTGAACTTGTGTGAAGAACTTATTTCAGTTGTAGAAATAAATTGCCCTTTCACTTTTACTTTGCAGAGGAAAGAAATTGCTCAATGCACATCTCTTATCGCATTTCTTTCCGGTTAGCAGAGAACGTAAAGTATAAATTTACGTTCTCTGCGGTTGGCTTTTATATTCACAATAAAAGCTACACATATGACATTTGTTATATGCTCTACGGTGAATAGCCGCCATATTTGCAGAGAACGTAAATTTATCCGCTTGCCGGTGAGTTGATTATTTCCGAGCGCATATTAAATACCAAAAAACATACATTTTGGATATTCTCCATAGTGTATTGGTAAACAAATCACATTGAAAATGGACGAGGACCTGCTGTTGCTTTGCGTACTACTTTTGGCTAAACAAGTCAAAGATATTCGGAGGCGAAATACTGCGAGCAGCGATGATGATGGGAGCAGTGATGATGCGAGTAGCGAGGATATTGCTGCGAGCGCTGGAAATAGCGTACAGCAAACGTCTACTTCCAAAGGTTGTCGAGCAAATGCGGTTGCTAATATATCCACCAGAATTAAGGCGCCTATAGCTCGTACAACTGGTCGAGCTGCGATAAAACGGCGCAGTGCGACGACAATTGCTTCCAACATGGGGTCCCTTAAAAAAATAAAAACAACTACAATATCTTCTTCAGACAGTGACAATACATTTCTTAATGATGTGTCAGATAATGAAGTAACTGAACAAATACCTGAAAGCCATAGCACCGAGACTTGCAAAATTGCTATAGCACCTCAAAAATATCCCGAAGTGAAGTTCACTGACGAGGAGATAATGAAAATTAAAAAGAGTTTGTTGGCTGAAATAGATGAAACCGAAGATCTTCCTGCAGGCATTGGCTTTACATCCAGCGTATCGGAAGATGGATGGCTCTCGCTAACATGTCAAAATGCACAAACCAAGGATTGGCTGATGAGTGTCATAAGTACGCTTAATTCAACCTTAAATATGGATATTAAAGCATCCATTGGCGGTGCTCTTTCACATACTTTCATCTGCATTCTACATATTTTACCGGAGGACATAATGGCACCGGATGCTTTAAAAATTCGTTTAGCAAAGCAAAACCAGGGCCTATCAACTAATGATTGGCGTTTACTGAATGCAGTTAAAACTGAAAGTGGAGGCCAAACTGTTACTTACTGCATAGATGCTAAGTCCAAGAGCATTATAGAAACTCGAGGCAGTAAACTTTTTTTAAACTTCTCACAGACAACTGTGGAAGTGAAATGAATAATGAATATTTATCAACTATAGCCTCATAGGCTTATTAATACGGACATCGTAGATTTTTTGAGTTTTATGCAATTTTTAATTTAAATTTTTAATCATATTTGCGATTTTTTTTTGTTTGAAACTTAAGAAACAAAAGCCTCATACATAAATACATATAAGCGAGAGGCCCCAATGTATTGTTATGCTACGTATAAGATCATCTCGTAATTTTTTATAACTTTAAAACTATATATGTGAAGTTACGTGTTTTTTTTTTTTTTTTAAAAGTGAATCGAATTAAATTTCTTGAATCGTTATAGTTTTCGATTTTAAGAACTTGCATAAACATAAGGGGTGATCCATTTAGACCCTTGCTTTTTTAATTTTAAATAAAACAATGGAACTGGGATGCCTGAATCTTTATTATTACTCGAAATAACAATCTTTGACATTTCATTTTTAAATATAATTTCTTTGAAGGGATTGCGCCATCTCAGAAAGTAACGCCAACCTTGAACAAACACTCGACAGCAATATTGAAAACGCCATAAACTTCATCAGCGAAACCTTAAAAAACACACGAAGTATAACTTTAAGAAGAGCACAACAACTCGGGAGCAACATGGCCTCGTAGCCAAGCCCCCGTGCATATATTTTATAAAAAGTTATTTATAAAATATAAAGATAAATAAATAAATAAATCTCTTTGAAGTGTTGGCCGCTGACAGAACATAACCGTCAATGACGAGCTTTACCACACCCACTCAACTAACGCCCCTCCCGTTGGTCCAACCTTATTGAAACAGCCCGTTTCCTGGGTCTACAGTTAGTTGAGCTTGACGACAATGATTGATGGATGAACTGAAATGGGCGGGGCTCAGTAGTGCCGCTACAAAAACAACAACAGCGGTACCGCACCATAATATTTTTGTTGCCTGAAATTGAAGCCCGTGATGCCAGCGACATTTGGTTTCAGCAAGTTATTGGGCCGTATGCATAATAAGTAAGCAATTGCTTTTTCTTAAAAGTTAATACCTTTTACCTAAATTTATTTAAACAAATCGAGTAAAAGGTCTAAAATTTTAAGTAAAAGAATTTGCTAGGGTTTGATGCATTCGGCCCATTGTGTATTATCACACCTCTGGATTTTTTCTTTGGGGTTATGTGAAGAAAAAAGTCTTCGTCTAATCCAGATGTGATTTAAAACTTGGAAGCCAAATTACTAGCGTAATTCGCGCATTGCTGGAAAGAGGAATTGAAAATGGGATCTTCCGAATGGACCACCTACAGCGTAGTCGCGGCAACATTTAAATGAAATTAAAAAAAAAAATAACTGCCAGTGACTGTTCTTTTGGGTATTAATAAAGATTCCGACATCCAGTTCTGTTTTATTTATAATTTAAAGAAAAGGTCTAGATGGATCACCCTAAATGTATGATCGCTATTTGTTTTGTGGTGTATTCACAATAAATGATTGTCAAATATACTTCATTTGTAAACAAACAAATTTAATTTAGTCGTTTTTACGGGGGTTTCTTCGATTCGTGGTTAAAAATTTTGCAGCCTTTGTATACTTTGGACAATTCCTTTATCTGACCAGGCATTAGTCATACCCTTTGTCAGTTCACACAACAAAAGTCGATCTGTTAAAATATCTAATAAGCGAGTCTGAAACGCAAAAAAATATTGGCGATAATTGAAGGTATGTATGTACATATGTTTGGTATGAAGCCACGCAAGTGTTCAAAATATATAAAATAAAATAATTAACAATTTTCGTACCTTTGGAAGTTGCAAAATACATAAATGTTTATTGTATTGAATTTTATAAGAAATCAATACCTATCGAATTTGATTTTAATTAGCTGGCGCGCAGAGGGTTTATAGTAAAATGTTAATTACGAGCAAACAAACTGCGAATTTCAATATATTAACACATTGTTGCGAAATAAACTACTAAACATTTTGTTTTCTGGTTTGGTTAATAATTTTTTTTTAGAGTAAAATACATATATGGGTGTGCGTCATGTCATACAATATTAAGAAATAATGGATGATGAAGTTGTAATGTACTGGAATTGGACGGAATTTTGTTCCACTGGGGTACGGCCATTCGCCGGCGATTCCAATGATTTACTACCATGTTTTCAAGAGATTGTGTTGCAAATTCCAATTTATACAATTTTTGCCACAATCTCGGCCTATAAGTTTGGATCATATACACGTAGTGTATTGCGGGATGTATTGCAATTGAGACTGCTTTATTTGCGTATTGGTGTAACAATTGTGCTGGCGCAGCTTCCTATATGGAAAATATTCGTTTTTCATCATACAGGAGTAAAATTGTATCCGGTCGATGTATTGGTCGTAGCTGCAGAATGTTTGATGTGGGCCGTACATGTGGGTGAGTATGATTTACGACATAAAAAAACATAAAATTCTTATATGAGTCCAATTTTTTCTATTGTATACAGGGTATCTTCTATCAAAACGACGCTTCGGCGGTCTAAGTCATCGCAGTTCACTGTGCATGAATGTAGCTTGGTTGGCAGTAGTTGTCTTGGATATGGTGTGGTTGCGCACTAGCATCAATTATGATTGGTGGCCGTGGAGCTTAGTAACTGTGATTTTTGATCTCATTTACGGGCTAACTTTAATTCCAACTGGAAATGCAGTATTGGCCACTACGCGTTATCCATCAGCTACGGTAAATAGTTCAAACCAAATAACCCTTTGTGGTTTTGTTGCTCTACTTTGCCCTCAATTTTCTAATATAACCAAATTCCAGGAAGATGAGTCACTGCTCGGCAACCGCTACACTTACTTCCATTTTGAAATGAATGAAACACATCTTGGTCATGCCCAAGACGAAGCCAGTTATCCCTCACGCTTCATTTTTAGCTGGGTGGATCCTTTAATAACGAAAGGTATTGCAGGCGGTCTTAAAAAAATTGAAGACCTTTTTGATTTACCGGATGCGTTGAACATTACACAGCTAAGCGAACGCCTCCAAGTATGTATTTCACAAACGAAGACATTGTTTTGGGCGCTACACAAGGGATTTGGTCGGGAGTTTTATTTAATAGGCATATTAAGATTTACAGCCGACATTGCTGGTTTTGCAGGACCATTGCTGCTAGGTGGCTTGCTGAAGCAGCAAAATGAAAATGATAACGGCGAGACGAGCTGGAGTCCATACCTCTATGCTTTGGGACTATGTGCGACATCGTGGTTGTGTAAGCACTAAAAAAA